GCGATGTCTTTAGGCCCCAATTAGGATGAGCCACAAGCAGAAACAGAAAACAGAGGTTTCTGTCATTGCTTTTCACTGCTTGGAAGTGTTCCTGGGAAGGGGAGAGCCCATGAGAGCCACAGGCTGGAACCCAGGGCCTGCGGCAGTCAACAGCTGCAAGTCTGAGAGCAGTGCTGCCATTGGGCTCGTGGAAGAATGCGAGGCAGCAGCCACAGGAGGGAGCCTCTGGGCTGGAGAGGGCAGGACTCCTCAAGTCCAGGCAGACAGGCCTGTAAGAGTGAAACCAAGGGGGACTGCGCAAAGAAGAAGGGCTCTGTTCCTGCCACCCAGAAGTGCAACCTCCCCAGCAGCTTAGAATCCTGGAGGAGAAACCCACCTGGAAGGCTTTCTCAAGATCCCCCAGAAGGCCACCTGGATACTGTTATGTGGCAGCAGCTGCCCAGTGCTGTGTGTAAATGTGGGTGTAGCCCACTGCCCGGGAGCAGTTTTCATAGTGGTTAAAGGTACAATCTCTCATGCCACACTGCCTATGTTTTGTTTTGTTTGTTTTCAGATGGGAGGAATCTCTTATCAGCCAGGCTGGAGTACAGTGGCACAATCACGGCTCACTGAAACCTTGAGTTCCCAGGCCTCTAACCTCAGCCTCCCCAAAGAACTGGGGGACCACCTGGGACCACAGGGTGCACCACCATGCCTGGCTAATTTTTGTATTGTTTCTAGAGATAGGGTCTCACTATGTTACCCAGGCTGGTCTTGGTCCACTAGGCTGAAGCTATTCTCCCACCTTGGCCTCCCAAAGTGTTGAAGTTATGAGTGAGCCATTGCACCTAGCCTTGAGTTTTAAATCCCATCTCAGCTACTTACTATCATCTGTGTTTCCATGGAAACAATTTGTCACCTCCCAGAGCTCAGTTATCACACTTTTGAAATGGGTTTCAAAACACTTAAACCCTCATTAGTAATAATGGTCCAAGCAATACACCCTTGTAGGACCTAAATCAAGGGTATCAAATCAAATCCATCAGAAGGACAGCCCCACCCCAACCCTACACAAACAAACAGCAGACCACATTTCTTTGTAACAAACTGAGGGCTTGTCATTTGGTGGCAGAACTCCACCTTTACCTCATTCCCTCTTGAGAGTCCTTTCTCTTAAGGGAACCCAAGATCAGCTACTGCTGGGCAGACTTAGAGCTCACATGGAGACTCGGTCTTCATTCCTCCTTTCCTGCTTCTATTTCCTCACACCTCCTTATCTGCCCTGCAAAGTTACTAAGTTCTCATCAAAGTTTAATTTACACCGGTTCAGGAGCTTTCCAAGGACTATAATTGTCTTCTATTAGCAGTACTAGAAAGCAAGCAATCACGAAGCCACATGAGAGATGAGAGAGGAACTAGCTTGGCAGGGCACTCCTGGTTTCCACATGCAATAAGGAAAAGAAATTTTTTTCACTTGGAGTCAGAACTCTCTGCTGAGATACCCATAGATCTTTCCTGAGTTTGCTGACCTTATCATCCTATTTAGTACTAGTGGCATGTTTTAAATTAATGATTTGTAGCTAATATACAGAATGATAGAATCTGGATTCAAGATTAAGAAATTGAATCCTAACGAGACAAAATTTAACCCAGAAAAAATCAGAAGCTTCTATACTTCAGTTAAAACTAAAAAGATTTACAGAAGTGGATTAACAGCTTGAAGTATGAAATAAGGGAAGTCTGATTGACTGCAACTTAAACTGAATTCAATTGTGTGATATGGCATTCACAAAATCTACTATAATTTTAGGATGCATCTATAGATGTATAGCACCTATTCTAAAATGAAGGAGGTGATAAGATCACTCCATTCTGCACTAGGGAGAATATTCAGTGTTTTCAGAGACATTTACACATTCAGAGAGCGTATTAGAATAATGAATGACTTACAGAAAAAATATGACACATCAGAAATGGCTGAAATAACTGGGGAGGTTAAACTCCCCAAAAAAACTCTTGGTGAGAACATAATTCTTTAAGGATTATGCTTGAATGTCTTATTGAAAATACTTAGTGCAATGCCTGGCATAAAGTGCACAATTAATCTTATCATCAAATCATTAAATTAAGTAGTATTTATTTAGCACTATGTCCTTACTATTCATTATTACTATTATTATAGTTAATGCTTATAGAAGTGCTTTCTATGTGCTGAGGCTCTATTCCGGGTCCTTTACATAGGTTGACTCATTGACTCAGTTATTCCTCTTACCAATTCTGAGATAAATTACTATTATTGTCTCCAATGTCATATATGCTGGGGAAGCTGGAGTCACAGAAAGATTGAGTAGATTGCCTGGTGTGTCTCACAGAATGGAAGGGGAAAGAACCAGAATAGAAGCTGTGGCAATTTTAAGCCATCAAGGATGAAAGGTACTTTTATTATTTTATACCTGTTCTGTACCACTCCAAAGGGCAGAGCCAGGACCAATGTGTAAACTACTGAGGCAGATTTTAACTCAGCAAGAAGCAAAAGTCAATTAATTAATTAATTTTAAAACTCTGAATGATTAGAACTTTCTGAGATTTCAATGAGATATCTTATAAGGTAGTGAGTTCTCCATCACAGGATGTAAGAAGAATGAGGATAGAAATGGATAAATGGGACTATCTAGAAAGAAACTATGCAAATGAAGCCAACCCTTGATGAAAAAATAAGAAGGCATAGTGAAACTTGGTTTTAAAGACGCATGCCACAAAAGTTGAAATTAAAACAGTTATAAAGAAGATATGAAGGTAAACTAATATTTGTCTAACTGCCATCTCAACACAAAATTAATTAGATGTTGGAGAAAAGCAACAGTTCTTAAAGGAAATGTCTGCAATTTCTGTTCAAATTTACTAAACATACAACTACAAACAAAATCCCAGAATCCTCACAGATCAGATGGCCATCTACCTGGAGAGTAAAACACAGAGGGAAGGGAAGTAGTATGCTCTGTGAAGGAAGAGGACATCTGCATAAAGAAAGTAGCATCAGGCCCAGTGGTAGAGTGAGAGAGCAGGCATAAGGTTAAAGATCATAAAATACCATTAGATTAAAAAAATACATAATGCAATGACAATTGAAAATGCTAACATGATTGTAGTCCTGCTACTCAGTATGTAGTCAACAGGGTGTGCATAGTTTGTACGGAATGCCCTCCCTGCTGCATCTGTCTTTTGGGGTCAGCAGTCCCAGAACTCAAATATTTGTCAATTTAGTGAATTAATATAAACTTCCTCAACCAGAAGCACCAAGAGGTGGCTGGTTAAGGATTGAGAGTCCCAGTAAAATCTATTTATTCTATTATAAATAACTACTGATTTTTATATATATATGTACACATGTAAATATAAATTATTTAATATATAATATATTCAATGTGTATACATGCATATATATGTGTGTATACACACAGTTCTTAAATGCGTATTTGATTTACAAAAATTAAAGTATTCATTCTTTTTAAATCTACAAACTTTACAAACTTAACTCTTTCTAGAGGTCTAAAGACTGAATGATTACCAATCTAGGTCTGGGGCTCAAAAAAACAAAATGTGATGTCAAGAAAAGTGAAAGATTGTCTCCTGAAAGTGACAAAGAATGAAAACATGCTGAAAGAGCCTAAATGGACATGATGGAGATATGGATGTGGATTAAAACTGAGTGTTGGGATATAAGGATATAATACTGATTTATGAAGGTGAATAGTCAAATGTCAATTGCAGGATCTGAACTGCGGGGAAATAAAGGGCCTTGGTGGCTAAGGAAGTGAGGAGGAGAAAGAGTGGTACCAGGGGAAGCAGCACAGAGGAAAGAGAGCAATACTACCCGAGACTAGATGCGGACCGTCTCTAACTGACAGGAAAAGGCAAATACAAAGAGGTGAGTGACAATGCCTGGTGTGTCTGGGGTCGGGAACACTAGCAGGCACTAGCAGGTGGCTGCGGCGGGCTCGCAGGTCAAAGTGGTAACTGGGGATCTGAGTTCGGCAGTGACGCGCGCCTCACGTGACCGGGAGCCTATGTCTGCCCAAGTCCCTCTCGTCCCGGTCTTTTTTTGCCTGTCCACCATCTCCCTATTACCTTTGGTCGAGAGGAAAGCAGAAGGAGTAAGTTCCCTCTACCCTCTTAAATCGGTGTGAGTGTCGGCGCTGCCTGTAGCAGGAATGGGGTTGACAGAATCGGGATGGCCGGAGTCAGGCTTTTCTACGCTCAGCCCGCCTCCGCGCCCATATTTCTGTGCAAAATATGGTGGTCTTGGGGGCGGGGTGGGAGCAGTGCTTACCGTCCCCCGGGAGGTACGAACGCGGAAATAGTTTCTAGAATGCTTCGCTTCCACTTCCCATCTGAAAAGAAAATGGCAAGCTTTGCGGGGTGGGGAGGGTGGAGGCACAGAGGACGAGCTTGAAGCAGGATCTGAGACTAGAGGAGAACCCGAGGGGGGTGCAGGGGGCGTGCAGGCAGTGGCTGGTGCCCAGAAAGTGGGGGATGGGGGGTGTCAGTCAGTCCGTCCCTCCTCCCCACTCCCCGCCCCCTACCCTGTCTTGCGTCTGTGTGCAGGTCTGCTGGTCTGGCGGGGCACCTCGAGGAGAGGACGACTAAAGCACACGGCCCGGAAGGTCCAGGTCAGAAGGGAGGTACGCAGTGGACAGGACTGGGGCGCGAGGGTGGACGCCGAGGCATGGAGTCTGCAGGCACACTGTCCCGCCAGTCACTGCGGGCGAGGCCTGTGGCAAAGCCTGCTGGGAAAATGGTGGGCTTTTCGGGAAGGAGGGGCGACGGAAAGCGGCGGAGTCAGGAGAGCCGGAGAGCCTCTGGGGAAAACGCAAGGTTGGGGCCTGGGCCCCGAATCCAGGAAAAAGGCAGGTATTGGAACCACGGTTTAGGTGTTAGTCCAGTCCTTATTATTCTGATTCTATTCTGCCTTCTCTTGTCTCTAAGAATAACTGTGCTTGAAGAAGAAGAAAATTCCCAACATGGACAAACCACACCAAAATGAAGAGCCGCAGAGCGCCCAAGACCGATGAGGAGAGGCCTCCGGTGGAGCACTCTCCCGAAAGCAGTCCCTCGGCAGTCTTCGGAGGAGCAGTCCTCGGAGGAGGTTCTTCTGAGGAGCTCCTGCCTGAGCTCCTGCCTGAGATACTTCTCTCGGAGGAGCGCCCTCCGCCAGGAGAGACACTTTCCAGGAAAAGGACCTGTTTGAGGGCGCCCTCCCGTAGACAGCCTCCTTGTGGAGTAGGAAAACATAAGCTTGAAGAAGGAAGCTTTAAAAGTTGGCTCGTTCTCGCCCGCAATTTAGAGGACATACATAGCGAAATTTAAACAGAGTGGTAAGGCAGCAGATGAGCTAGAAGAGATGAAAAGTAAAAATAGGCAGTGATATTCAATGCATTGGAAGGCAAAACGGAGCCGTCCTTATCCTATTTAATGTGTTCGCCCTTTAATTCTGTTTTGCCTGCTAATAGTATTGCCATTGCCACCTGGACTTTCTGTGCGTTTTCTTAATGCCTTTTCCCATATTCTGAATTTTAACTTTTTGTGAGGATTTATTTTAGATGTTTAGCTTGTAACTCGCTTAAAGTTGGGGTTTCCCCCTAAAATTTACAAGTTTCCCTCTTTCAATCATAAGTCCTATACATTTTGCATGAAGATGTCATTATATATTGTGAAACGAAAAAGCAATTTTCAAATGGTATATATTGTATCCATTTTGTAAAAATGTATATTTATATAATATGCAAAGAAAAAACAAAGTACTTATATACTTCAAAGGCATAACAGTGGTTGTGTGGTAAGATAATAGGTGATTTTTTAAAATTTTGCTTTATCTGAATTTCTCATTTTTTCAAGACAAACATTTTACTTGTGTTGCAAAAATATATAATGAAAAAATCACCCAATTTTGAAAAAAACCGTCAATCATCTTATAAAGACAATGTGGCACTTAATAAATACTTGTCAGAACTTAAAAAAGTGAATCTATGTTTTTCTGAATCTCTTAGGCACACATATAAGCCAGATATTGATTATATTTAATAGTCATTTTGTTCTCATTTAAATAGGAATAATACTTGCTTTACAGTGCAGCACAATGAGACTTGGATAAGAAAAAGATTATGTGAGCTGTGTTTGGGGTCTTTATTCTACCTGCACAGACAGGACCCAGCCCTATAGATTCCTGCAGACATAGGCAGGGTACCCAGAGATCTCACTTGTGCTCACAAACAATTCCGGTGAGATTCAAGTAGGTCACCACATTCTATTCATGTCCTGCTGTACTCTCAGATTCTTACAGTATCTTTAGGCACCGCTGCTCCTTCTCCTGGGTCCTGATCTTTCCACTGGCTCTCATCCTTGCTAATATGCTGGGTGCCAAGGTACAAAAGCCTCACTGGTGCTCTAGAGTCCTGTTTGAGCCCAAGCTGGTGTATCCTGCAAGATATATGAATGCCTTTTTCCAGCTTTGATATTGCACTTAGCTAGGAGGCTACCATCCCAATGCTGCTTAGACCTCAATGTCTTTAAAAAATGCTTAGTAAAATAGTTCTTCCTTTTTTTTTTTTTCCATTTAGAACTTCCTCTTCTCATTGGACTCCAAACATGAGTCCACCTTTTCTCCACCTGACTCAAACATGATTCCACTAGGTCCTGGGCTGAGAGACAAAATTAATGAGCCAGACACCATGCTATGTACTCAGAATTGGAACTTCCCTCCCAAACGTCCAAGGATAACTATCATTTTAATTGTCTAACTGGCCTTAGGGTGAGTTCTCTCTCAGGGGCTTCTGGCAAACTTGCCTTGCCAATTCAACTGACACTCAAGTTGTATAAATTGAAGATGAAGATAATGCTTAGGCTCAAACTAGGACATTCCCCTTCTACACTGCTCCATATCCACCAAGACACACTTCAAAACTACTTTCTACAACATTGAAATTACTATATATATATGTATATGTATATAAGCATAGATATGATTTCTCCTATTAGCTACCTTTATAAATCCTAGATTTTGTTTTATTGATCCTGTTAGTGCTAGAAATACAGAGTGGTTAATGATTAAAAATTATGACCAGTCATGAACTCTGAGATTCCCTTTGATTGACTATATAAGCTGTGTTGACTTCTCTAGAGCTATGATTTGCAATTCCAAAAGGAACATGGTGAAGGAGGGATTATTAACGAAATTCAACATTAAAATTATTTAAATATTTTACTATATCAGTGTTTCTCTTACAAAAAATGCAGAAACCTATTTTCTACACCAGACCCGATAAATCTGCTTTTTATAAATTAGCACACTAAAAGTTGGATAGTCACTGGCATATATGGTATGCTTCTGATTTTACTGATAATAAACTATGATGTAAATGGAAGAAAATATAAATAATTGTGTCAAATTAAAGGGCAAAAGAACGCATCAAGCATATTTTAAGTAAGCAATAACGATAGTCACCACCAATTTATAACATAAAATTTAGATTTCTTACAGTAAAGCAAGACCTTACACAAAATTAAAACCTAAGAGACAACAATAAAAATGTATTTTCATGACTAATGTTATATTATGCCTTACATTCCATACTTTCAATATGAGTAAAATGCATCAGAAGTAAATTCAAAGTTCTCCTTTAGTAATAATCTCAAAAAAAAGCAGTTGAGCCAGCCCTGTACCTTTGCTTTCTTTTGTTTTATATTTTACCATACAATGCCATTAGAGTTCCTCATGTCCCAAGAACCTCTTAAGGCCAATGGCAGCCTGATGGGTAATAGTCAAACTGGAATTCTGGCTGGAGTAGAGATCAGGTTCAGGCTCACTGGAATTAGTTTTATGAAAGGATAAATCCATCCCCTAACGCTAAAGTGGTGGTGCTTAGGCAGGAAGTGGAAGAGGCTCACTCAGGCCACATTCCCACTCTGGGATTAAGATCTGACTATTGACTCTCTGCTCAGCCTACAGCAGGCACAGAGCCCTCTTAGGCTAATGGTCAAGCTGCCCTGCACAGGCATACCTGGGGAGAGGAGCGAGGCTGCCCCATTGCAGGTCAGAGCACTTTGCCTCTCCTCCCTTTCCCTTTCTCTTTTGGGAACATTTTGCGGGGAGGAGATAAAGCCCAAAGCTGTATCCTGGCAGAAACATTCATTGGGATAGTCTTTGACAAACAGATGTCTGAACAGATCGGCCAGATCAGCAGGTTGAAGCAGAAGAAGCTGACCATCTCTCAGAGTCCAGAAGTGAAAGTAACCCCAAAGGCACAGAGCAAAAATGATTAGACAGCACACAAAACCTCACCCATCCCTCTCCCACCCACCTTGCTCAGGCTCCCAGAAGGGCCTTGATGTGTCCTGGCCTGTTTGGTTGGTTCTGCAAAGACTTTAGCTATGTGTCTGCCTGGTGCAGTACATCTGATGTTTGAGTCAGTACAGACCCTGAAGTACTGAAGACCCCAGATAAAGGGAATTTGCAAAGACATGTGGTCCACACAAGTCCAGGAGAAAGGGGTGTCACCTCTATCTGAAACCTCCATGCACTGCAAGCAGCTCACGACTTGGGAGCCAGGACAGTCAAGCTGTGAATTGGTGTAGATGCTTTTAAGGCATTAGTGGTGGAGGTCAGCAGCATCCAGGGCCTGGGCTCTTTCTTTATGATTTGAATGTGTTTCCCACAATTCATTTGCTGGAAATTTAATCCTCAGTGAAACACGGATGTGGGATATGGGGCTTAATGGGAGGTTTTTAGGTCATGAGGGCTGTACCCTCATGAATGGATTAATGCCATCATAAAAAGGGCTTGCAGGAATGGGTTCTCTCCCATTCTTCTGCCACATGAAAACACAGAGTTCCTCTTTCTTGCCCTCTGCCTTCCTGCATGTAAGAATGCAACAGGAAGGCCCATCCCAGATGCCAGTGTGATCTTGGACCCAGCCTCCCAAAACTGTAAGATAATAGAAGTTTCTATTCTTAATCAATTGTCCTAGAGCTGATCCGCGATTACTCATGCCTGTAATCCCAACACTTTGGGAGGCCAAGGCAGGAGGATCGCTTGAGCCCAGGATTTCAATACCAGCCTAGGCAACATAGTAAGATGCCGTCTCTACAAAAGCAGAAAAAAATAGCTGGCATGGTGGTGTGTGCCTATAGTCCCAGTCACTTGGGAGGCTGAAGTGGGAGGGATTGCTTGAAGGCAGGAGGAAGTCAGAAAGGCTGCAGTGAGCCATGATGGTGCCACTGCACTCCAGCCTGAGCAATGGAGACCCTGTCTCAAAACAAAAAAAAAATCCAGTCTCAGGTATTCTGTTATAACAGCAGAAAATGGACTAAGACAGCCTCTATACCTTCCTGCTTACACAGAGGGCTGGTATCTCTATCACATGTCAAGCAGCAACACCAGCCCAGCTCAGACAGAAAGCATTAGGGGTCAGGATCATGGAGAGAGGATCCTCTGCAGGGTCCCCTGCTCTTGAGAAACAATGCATGTGACTAGAACTCCTGGAGTGGTGAAGCAGCATAGAAGAAGGATCAGGCTCAGGTTCCTAGAAAAGGACCAGAACAACTCCTTCCCCCATTGGGAAATACTAATCTAAACAAATAATTATTTTACAAATGAGGGATAATATTTTACAGATAAATAGGAGGCAGATCCTGTCTTCTAGCTCAGATTTGTTTGCATCAAATTCTGTGTTCTTCCCACTCTACCACACGACCACCAATTTAGATGGTAGCTTTTTAGGGCTGAGGGAATCATTGATTTAGACTTACTGAGTATGATATTCTTGTTGGTTTGTGGATTTGGGTGAGTTTCGCATTTTATCTCACTCAGGTAGAAGTATCCCCAGCAGGCAGTTAGATGTAATACTGAAGTTTAGAAAAGAGATTAGAATGGAAATATCCAATTTTGGCTTATGATACCAGGAACATAGCAAGTGGCCAGAATTATTTTTTGAATTAAATGAATGAATGAAGTGCAACTGTATGCTCTTCTATCCTTTTCCATGAATACGTATTTTTCAAACAGAAGTGGGATTCTACTGAACACACTGGTTCATATCTTGTGCGTAAAAAAATAAACTTTTTTCTTTAAACTTTCTTTTTACCAAGACAATACCTGTTTCAGGAGAATGTTTACAAATAAGTAAGTGCCTGCCCGGTGACCAGAGTCAGGGTGTGGGTCGAACACTTGGCTAACAAAGGAGAGCAGGGAGGAGAAGAAACTGATAGGAGAGCTGGTGGAGAGGCTTGATATTTGGGAAGGGAATGTCTCAACCCCAACTCACACTGGACCCACACAAGTATCAGGCTCTTCTTGGGGATTGAGGTGACCCAAGAAGCAACATATAGTTAGGTGGTTTTTCCTTGTCTCAAGTCAAGATAGCGCGTGTGCATGTACGTGTGTTTTAACTGAATTGTCTTATACTATTTCACTTTTCTCTGATTGTAGAAGTTATATGTTTCTACTAGAAAATATATGGAAATGCAGAAAAGTGTAAGAAGAAGATGCCTATACTTCCTCTACCCAGAGAAGAGAATTATTAATATTGAGGAGCATGTACTTACATTGTGTGTATATCTCCTTTTTGTAATCGATCCATTTACTTTATTATAAAAATATATGTGTATTATATTATATAAAAATACATTTAAATGCCTTTATGTATTCATTTTT